ATACTCCTACTTCTTTCCCTCACCCGTCCAGCACCGTGCCTCAGCCGTGAACGCCGCCGCGGGCAGCCGCGCTGAGGTAAAGCCAAGATGGCGGACAGCGCCCCTCGCGGCGGCCCCCTCGGGAGCTGAGCGGGAAATCCGCCAGCCCTCACCTACACCTGGGGAATCCCATACCAAAAACCATGGCAGCCTCCGTCAGAGCAGGCATCTATCCCTTCGCTTCCCAAATAAATTCAGTTCTTACGGAGATGCCCCATACTTGTGTGTTTAAGACAAGGGAGTCTCCAGTCTCCCACCTACAGAGTTAGTTGAGGCAATGGCAGGAGCGGTCACGCTGCAGGGCAGGGGGAGTTTCCCAAGGGTGAAACAAGCTCCCACCTGAACATGGATTGCACCAGGACTTTGCTGAACTAAATACCTTTGAGAAATGCTTGTGACTTGTACTCATGCTGATGACGCTATTGAAATTCTGTTCTTCAAGAATTTAATAGATCCTGGACTTAAATACCTCAACTCCGCCAAAGTGTGTGGTCCTCTATGGGTACATCTGCATTACTGTTTTAGTTGGATCAAGGTGTGTTGTGGTGTGAAGCTTCTGATCACCTCCACTTGCTCTGCACATCAGCTGGATTCCCGCTGGATGAAGCCTAATGCACTCCAACAGAGGTCTAAAAATTGTATACCAGCTTTAAATACTACACTGACAGCCAGTGAGAATATCTTTTAAGCTTAGTGAAAACATTCACTTTAGAGGATCTTTTTCAATATTCTTACCAATAGTCGTCTGCCAATCGCACCGCATTGCAGAGGCTGCGTTTCATCTCCTGCTACTGCTGGAGATTTACTACTTAAATATTAAGTTTAATTTTTCTAGATATGATTCGATTACACCATATCACAGCATATCATCACATTTGTGTTGCTGAAGAACGTAAGACATAGCAACATAAGGAGGGTTGTCCCAGGAAAAAAAGTTATCGAGCAGTTTATGGAAAGAAGTAAACTACTACAAAACACTGCAACAGATTGTTGTGAATTACTCACATCTTTAAGACAAGCTGCCTGGATATGATCTTTTACTATAAAAAAACCCTGCAATTTGAAAAGATTATTCCATAACAAGTAGTATCAATAGGTGTAGTAGACTGATTTCATAAATGGAAGATCTACTACAAAATAATTATTCCTTTCATTACATTTAAGAGTATTCAAGTTTTGACATGATAGATTTAATTTTAAATGCAAGTATTTTTTTTGTATCAAAGAGGAGATATCTGTAAATTTGTTTTTCTTAAAAATGTAAGTCTCATACATTCCTTTAACTTTAATTGAAAAATGCTTCTAAAGAAAAACATGTGATACTGAAGACAATACATGACTGGAGTTTAAAATATTGTCGATTTTGTATTAGCAAAAATAAGTACAGGATATATTTTTGAAAGGTTTTTGAGG